CCCCCCGCGCCCCCTGCCTTGTTTTGCTTGCAAGAAAGACCTGTTTTACATATAATACAGTAATCAGGGCTTGACATAAATAGGCAAATGTTATTGTCTGCAGTGGGACTTGCACCTGCTGGCAAGAGCAATGAATGCAGCCCATTATGCACCGGAGTCGATCATCTGTGCAATGAAGTATAACTACGTTTCTTGCTGTGTTCTTGTGCAAGTCTTTATCTCAGCGGCTGCGAGCGCACCGACAGATGCGCCATCATCACCTTTGCAGTCTGTCCTCGCCCCGGGAGCCGGAGCAGCCTCTGTTTCTGCAGCTGTGGCCGGCCCTCTCCCAGAGGGGTGGAGGAGACCAAGATGTTCAGCTGAGAGATGTCCCTGCTTCGGTGCCGGCTGCATTACAAAGCCAGGCAGCCTCGTCCCTGAGCATCGAGGCTGCACTTTGCGGGCAGGAGGGTCCTGCTTCCAGGATGCACAGGATCCTGGATGGATGCCTGGATGCACAGAGCGTATGGCTCTTGTTTATGGACCTCATTGCGGGAAAAGTGGCAGCAGTCTCACCAGCTGAGCAGGTATGAGCAGCGGTGCTTCGGAGCAGAGGGACTTGCAACACTGGCTTAGCTATAGGCTGCTAGTGTGGAGTCTGGGCTTCCAGCACAATAAGATTTTACCAATAATAATAAATAGAGGTTGTCTTGTTGCTGCTGGAGTCTGGGCTTAGCTTGGCTAAAGTGGCTCCAGCAGCTCTGAACTGCTGCATCCACAGCTTAGGCGAGGGTTGGAAGAGGTGCAGTGCAAGGAGAGGAAGCAGGGGACACACACGCTCTTTGTGGAGTGAAAAAGATGAGCATAAATCCCATGGGAATGCCAAAATGTGAAGGATGCTGTGTGTGCAGGTATTTCTGCTGGACCAGCATTGCAGGGCAGAGAGGACGTTGAGCTTAAGAGCATCAGCATTAGAGCAGGAACAGGCAGATCGTGGGCTTTGCTTGCTGAGCTAAGTGAAAACACTTGCTCACTCCGTGGTAGAAATTGCTGTTTATTAGAAAAAAATTCATAAATAAAATAATTTCATGTTGTGATTTACATTTTGCAGCTTAAGGGTGCAGCCTAAGGGGAAAAAAAACCCTCTAGGATTTGTGTGTAGAATGGCTCTAAGCCTTACCCATTCGTTGGTTTGCCACGCGACTCTGAATCTGAGGCTGCAGATTTGCCCTTGTCCTTTCACTACCCAGCTCCCACCCTGAAACAACAGCCTGGCCAGTGCCTAAGTAAGTTCCCAGGAATCATCTGATTAATAGGGGAATAGAAATTGGACTAAAAATTGGGAAAAAAACAGAGAGGAAGTTTAACAGAAGGATGTGTGCTCTCCATCACTGATACGGGGAAAATCCCTCCACGCAGTATCTTCCTCCACCGGCGGTCCTGCCCCGAGCAGTGGAAGCCCCCAGTGCTGCTCCATCCCCGCCACCGTCACCCGGCCGGGCTCAGCTCCCACCTGCCTTCCCGCAGGTTGGGCAAAGCCCAGGGACGGTAAATAGCGAGGGGTTAGGACGAACAGACAGCTCACAATAAGCACATTCCTACCACCACCAGTCACAGTCTGGTTCCTAATAAAGGCTCTGATAAGGAAGCTGGAATCCCTTTTAACTTCTGATCCATTCAGAGATAAGTTGGTTTAGACATAAACAAGTGCTTCTGTCACCGGCAGCTCTCAGAAATGCAGCTGTGAGACCTCACGTTAGCCCCGAGTGGGACCTCACTGCTGCTCCCAGGGGAGTTACTCAGACAGCTGCATCCCCAGCTGGGGTGACAAGAGGATGACTTATTCTTCCTCCCTAGTAAAGGTCTTCTGCACAACCCCGTAGGCTTTTCTGGGAGAAGGAGAGGGGGGAAGATGTAAAAATAAGAAATTACGTCTTTCAACCGTTACCGGGTTTTGAGGTGAAGTGAAGTCACCTTCCTGGGCTGGTTTTCTCCGCGGGGCCCTTAGAGATCATTTTTTACTCAAATTGGGAGAAACTAGAGCAGAACTGTGCTGAGAAAAGCATTTGTCTCGGGCCTCAGCACTGCTTGGAGGTAAGAGGAGGGCGAGGGCGGCTGGTCCATCCCGCAGCCTGGCTTCCCTCCCTTCCTGGCATCCCCCAGCGTGGGCACAGGCACGAGGCTGGCATCGAGACACCGGCAGTGGGGCAGAAAAGCCCAGACAGCAACACAGGGCTGCTGAGTCGCAGGAGCAAAGTCAGCCCAGTCCCTAACACCAGTGGAGATGGGACAGCAGAAGCTGGCACTATTTGATTTAACCTTTCCCTGGGTTATTGCATCTTCCCTTCAAGAGACTGGCTTTTTGGGTAGAGTTCCTGGCTTCTCGATATTCCGATTAGACCAGGTTGTCTCAGCCTCAAGACAGCTCCCATTTGCATGGGTTTAAACCTCTCCAGTGTCACTGTCCCCTCTGATGTCTCCTACAGCTCCTCGTCCGACAGGATCAGCACTCTCTTCTCGATGTTTTTGCTCTTTCTGCCACTCGGTCCCTCCCCCTTGGAGGCCACGTGTCCCTTCTCCCCTGGCACTTTGTGCTCTGTCTCCTGCATCGACTGCTGGGTGTACTGCTGGTACGCAGGCGAGAAGTTGTGGATGGCATCCTGCACGATGTCCTGGGGGCTTATGGTCTCCTTCAGCCCGCTCGAGATGCTCTGCATTGGGGCAAGGTTTGCTGAAAAACAGGGAGAGCGGGAGGGTGATGGGACAGCAGTCATTGTGCCCAAGCGCTCCAAGACTGGAGTGACATTTTTCCTTAGAAATTCAAAATGAGGGCCTCATTGTCGGCCACATCAGCTTGCGGTGGTGAGCGCCAAGGAGAAGAAAGGCAACCCCAGCTCCATGTTTCAAAGAGGATGGAACCTCTCCAGCAGCATGTGCTGTAATACCATAATCCCCTAATTCTGCCCATCCGCACCAAGGTCTCTTTTCCTATCCACTCACTGTGGCTCATGGGTATCACGAGGGAAGAGGGAGAAGGAACTAATGGAGCACAGGAGAAGAAACTCTGGTGGCTTTTAGCATCCCATTGGTAATGCTATAAGGGGGGTGGGGGTGTCTCCTCTTTCCTTATTCACTGATTAAGGAAGGAAGAAGAGAGGAAAAGTTACCTGTCGAGTTTTCTTTCTTTTCTCTGTACACCTGGCAGGTGAACGCATAGCGCAGGGCAATGGAAGCAAAGAGCATCTCAATGCAGATGATGAAGTTCTGGTAGCCAGCAGCCACCGTTCCAGCTCCCACCTCCTTCCCATCGATGATCTGAACTTCAGGGATCACCCCACATTTCTCCAGGATTGCAAGCAGTGTCCCTGTGCAGGGGGAGGGAGAGGGATCAGCTCTGATCCTGCGTCCCCAGGTCAGGTGGGGATACAGGAGGAGAAGTGCGGGGCATCCGTGGTGGGACCCACCTTGCCAGAAGGAGAGGAAGATGACTGCCTTGATGGTGATGAACTTGAGGACTGGCTCAAACGGGCGCAGCAGGTCCATGGTGGCGAAGTAGAAGAGGAAGAGGGCGTAAAGTGCCAGGCTGACGGAGAAGTTGTAGATGATGGTGATGTAGAGGTAGCCGCTTTGGACGCTGCGAGGGGGGGGAGAGAGAGAGAGCTGCTGCCCTGGGCTGCGAGAAGCGAAGCGAGTGCAACTGGAGGCAAGGAAGGAAGAAATGGAGGGGGAGAAGTGTGTGGCTTTGCCACGGGGGAGAGCACGGCCCAGGAGGGGAAGGAGAGGCCGGGAGAAAGGGGGGAGCAGGGGGCCACTCTCAGCTTTTCCTCTGCTGCTGGGACCTCTTTTATTATGGCTCACAAGAGTTTCGTCCCTTTTCTTATTTGGGAGCAGTGACTCTCTGTTCCCCGGTGCTTTGGGCTCCCTCTGCTCTCACTACCTGTGGAGCAGCTCCCGGGGAGGGCTGGCAGGACACCCTGTCCCTTGTGATCGAGCAGGGACCCCTCCTGGCCCCTTCACCCAACCCAGCCCAACCCAGCATCCTCACTTGAAGTCCCCGTCGTGGTACTTCCCGAATGCCTGCAGGATGATGGTGACGATCGCCATGAGGGGTTTCACAATGCAGAACTGCAGCGTGGCCTGCACAGGGGAGAGACACGGTGCACCCTGGGCAGCGGGGACGTCCCACCACCCTCCCTGCAGCTCCAGCCACCCCTGGCCCCTCCACGCGAGCCAACCCCTCTGCTCCTCGGACAGAGACACAGAGGAGAGAGCAGTTCTCCATCCCAGGAGTGACCAATGCTGCACGGTGAAATATGAACCAGCTCAAGGTCTGCAGGCGGGAGGGAGCAGGGCTCCCAAAAGGCAGCTCCTGAAAGGCAGTGTAGCCACTCCGAGGGGGGGTGACCATGCGGCTGGGGACCGACCTGTGCCAGGATTTGGCCCGCAGCGCAGCCCTGGAGAGTTAGAGAGCCGTCCAGGCTAACCTGGGACTGGACAGAGATGGCAATCTCAGCTCTGCAGTGGGAGGAGACCCTGACTCAGCAGTGAGTCAGAGGCAAGAGCAGTGAGCGCGGCGCCCTGCTGCTGGCCAGGTGCTGGCGAGCTGCGTGAGCTGCCTCCCTCGGAGGAAAAAAAAAAAGCCAAAAAGAGCATCTCAGGAGAGCAGCGAAGCAGAGCCCTCTCGGCAGGGCAGCAGGGAAGGGACCTGCCACCCAGAGAGCCCTCATGGGAGGGGAGCGGAGCATTTGCCCTGTCAGGTACCCACCTGCTTGCAGAAGCGCAGGAACCCGATCGAGTAGGACATACCCTGAAGGCAGCAGGTCCCATAAAAGCAGCTGGACCTGGAAGCAGAAGCCGAGGAGATGCCGTTGGGGCTGCTGGATGGGGAAAGCGGGTGACTGGTCGAGGAACTCATGGGATGCTGCGACTTACGCAATGGGCTTCCCTCGGATCTCTGTCATGATGGTGCTCTCCCCTCCGAGGTACTCGAAGCACAGGCTCAGGAAGCTGTAAATCACGAAAGCTGGCAAGGCAAGGGCAGACACGATCAGTGGGGCTGATGGAGATCCAGGAAGGGGGTGTTATTACATTTCACATCCCTTCCTGCTCAGGTGTCTTCTCATCCACCCCAGCACAGCATCAGAATTTGGGACACTGGTAGGTGGGAGCCCAGCAAGAGGAGGAGCAGGTCAAATCCATCTGACTTCCAAGCAGAGTCAGATGCACCGCACCATGTGCACAGGGTTCATTGTAGATGCGGCAGCTCCTCCGTGCACACAGAGACCCTGAGTGCACGTGGCAGCAGTCGGACGTCGCAACAGTGCTCGTGGAGCCGGCCCCCATGCACACCCAAACAAGCCCAGGCAGGAGTGCAATGGCCATGGACCATCTGCATGGAAGGACCTCAGAATTGCTAAGGGGAAGCACAAGTAGCTGGTGGCCAGCAAGGAGCAGGTCCTGAACAGTTTTCTTGAACATCCCCATCACTTATTTTTCATATACTCCAAACCTGAAGTAATACACATGCCCACATCCCTCTGTTCCCTAGGGGGAGAGCAACAAGATGGAAGGGCAACCTCAACCCTGATGAGCTTCCCCTGCACCTCAAAACACCCCAACTCCACAATTTCTTAGGTACATCTGCCTTCTGCTCTAGAGAAGCTGCATTGCTACCCCAAAAGCAACCAGAAAACCTCTTTCCCCAGGAACATGATGCTGGGGTCCCTCTGAGCCTGCAGGCAGGCAGCGGAAAGGCACCAGCTCGTGTCTACCCGTGGGGCATCCCCTGCCCACTGCTGATGGAGAAGGACAGGGGAAAAACCTCTGCACGGAGGAAGGGAGAGTGGGAAGTGAAAGAGAGAGAGATTTGCCACTTTGTGCAATCCAGGACACTCCAGAGACACAGGTCAGCAAGACGAGAGCCTTGCTTTGCCATCAGCCTCCCTGCCAAGGAGAGGCTGCACTCACCTTCATAGCAGTCACGCACTGAGTCGAAGTAGACGTAGTACTGGTGGCTGCCGAGGAGGAGGAGGCTGAGCCAGGAGTCAAAGGCATAGATGGGCACAATGAAGAGGATGCGGATGATGTAGCGCTGCTCCTTGGGGATGGTGTAATTCCTCAAGTGCATGTAGATCTGCAAAGTGCCCAGCATGCAGAGCTGTGGCTACCGCTGCTCAGGAGGGGAACCAGAGGTGCCCCCAGCCTGGGGGGCTGCAGGAGGCTCGTCCCATGTTGACCCTCCTCCCGGGGATGAGAGCACTGCTGGCTTTCCACCACAGACCCACCGCAGTGAACAGACACGTGAGACGGGCTCCATCCTGGTCCCCGGGGCAATCCCTTCCTCAAAAACGCGTGGAAATAGGGTCCCTTCCCTGGCACTGTGTGAGGAGCGTGCCCTCCTCCATGCAACCCCACGTGCAGCCCCGTCCCAGCGCTCGGAGGCAGCAGCTTGCCCCACCGGCTGCCTTCAGCAGCACAGATCCACGCAGCACCCAAAAACATACCCACTGGCAGTACATTTCAAGGCAGCCAGTGGCGCACACCGCAAAGGCACAGAACCCGGGGTGCCAGATGAGAAACCCCGCTGGGTGTTGCCTCCGGGCAGTGCTGATGCCCTGCAGCTTCTCCTGGGCCTGGCAGCCGCCCGGGGAGCGCATGGGCAAAGTCCACCCTCCCGAGCTGCCAGCACTGGGCTCCTGACAACAGAGATATCCCCTCTGGTCACCAACAGGAGGAAATATTTATCCGGAGCTGAGTGATTTGCAATGAACTTGAGGGCAGTCAATAGTTTCACCCTTGCATCAACCCCAGTGCTGAGCCCCGTCTTTGCTCCAGCCCGTACCTGGTGGAAGGTGACGATGAGTGCTGACCACACGAAGATGCCGGAGATGACCTGCGCCATTGTGGTGGTCAGGAAAAGCTGCTGGCCATCCTCAGAGTTGTTGTGGGCGGCCGTGAGC